ATCCTTTTTTCTGATTAAATATAAGATAATCGCGAAAAGTATCGAAACGTCTATTGAAATGGATTTTAGTGTTAATAATAGGTTTTTGGTATTAAATTTTCGATACTTATATGATTCGTATTATAAAAATAAATATTTCGATTCACTTCTCTATCATTTAAATTGACTTAAACTCTAATTTAGGAAATTTGAAATGTTTAGTAAAAATTTTCATAACTTTTTTGTGCGAATAAATACTTTTTTTAAGGAATAAATATCAATTTTGTTACATTTAACTGTTGAAATGTATTGTAAATGACCGTAATATGAGAATACGGTAGTCTATTCTTGCTATACATGGACATGGAGTCTATTCATGGACTTGTAGTTTATTCTACAAGAATCGGCTCATAACTCACATGAAAACTATTGGCAAATTATGTTTGTTTTGTATTTGTGTTACAAATCCCTTATCTATGAAAACAATTGATAAATGACATGGATATAAAAGCAATTTGTAAATTATAAAATGTTTTGAATAACTATTTACAGCAATAAATAGTTGAATTGAATGAGGTTTGCAACTCATGGGATGACCAAGTACAATTTGGACGCATTGGGCTGTAGATTAGTATACAATCCCTGTTGTGACACAAACACTGCAAACAAATGAAAAAGCAATTGATTGTTGTGTTTGTAGTGAAGACAATGTCCTGAAGACACACCACCGACACGATGGATGAGATCAAAGAGGAAGTGATGATTGTGGCCGAGAAGGAGGTTTCCCGACCCACACGACCACCTCATGGACGACACATGAAGACAAACGCCAGTAATATATGACACAAATTGACACTCAATTCAATACATGTCTCTAACCGTTGTCTTTGAAATCAGATGCAAATGAAGTGAAGAGTAACGTCCAGATCCTGAACGAGATGTTCCCAAACGGCACGTCATATGTAGAGTTGGGGCGGACGGGACCCCCACACGACCCCATCTTCCGCATCGGTGTTCATGTGAATGGCATGACGTTTGAGGGCACGAGTCGTACCAAACAGAGGGCCCGACACGAGGCCGCCCGACACGCCATCCAATACTTCTCACAAACGGTTCCACTACTGCCTGAACCCACACTCTTAGCCC